TTACTGGCGATATCATCGTTGTAATACATTTTACTGTTTTGAAACACTAATATTTGTGTTCAGCGAAGTCTCCTGAGTAGAACAGTACCCCCCATGTACAGGTTTTATGGTGTCTTGGAAAGTTATAGGGTTAAATATAGTGCTAGTAAATTAAATTCCCTTTACTTTCGGCATGGGTTGTCAGGCAGGTCCCGCTAATTGTAATTAATTAAGATACCTAATTATGTAAAAATATTATATAAATATATATGTAGAATTACTATATGTATATATATATATATGTATGTGAATATATATGTATATATATATATATATATAATTTTTTTAAATATTTTTATTTATATATAGGTATATATATAGTGATATATACGTATATATTTATGTATATAGATATATATATTATTTCGTTCTATGTGTATTTTGATATATATATATATATATATATTAATTTCACAAAACAGTTAGAACGAAATAACACACATCTATATATTTTTTAATTATTTATTTTTAATTATTTTTTAATTTTATTTTTTAACGTATTTACATTTTTATTTTTTTTATATTATATATAAATATATATATAACAATAATTATATATATATTTAATCAGTATCAGTCTACGTATAATTTGATATTAATATATATATATAATTATATATATATTAATAGTAAAATACACCTAGACGGTGTATGTGTGTGTATGTATATGTGTATATATATACTTAGATCATATATATATATAATATATATATATGATCTAAGTATATATAATTATTTTTTTTTACACCATTAACTTATTTTTATTTTATTTTCAGCCAGCAGGGGGACCACCTGTCATTACAGGCAGCCCCCCTGCCGGCAATACAGAAGCCAGCTATCCCCGGCCATGTGATTGTGGGGTCCTCGCTAGGACCCCACTCTCACATGGCCGGGGGGCTTCAACGAGGACGGATGTGCCGCGGGGGGCTCCCTGGGAGTCCCCCCCACCGCGATCGCCGGCGTGGGACCGCCGGCGACCGGGTAAGTTAACAAAAACCGGAGGGCGTACAATTACGCCCGGCGGCGTTTAGAGCCGCCTATTAGAGGGCGTAATTGTACGTCCTCCGGTTTTAAGGGGTTAATGCTGCTCCTCGTCCTTTAGTGGTTACATTTTATCTATATATGTGAACCATCTACATATAGTTTCCATGCTATTTTGGCTTGTCAGATTTATTTTCCTAAATCTTTTTTATCTTTTACTTTTTTTCATTTTGGACACATTAATTAGGTCTAAGCTTTTATTTTGCTGTGTAGAACTATAGATTGTACAATAATTAATCCCATCACTACCAAACACTTTTTATTTGAAAAAATATGACATAAGCATAAGATTTATTAGAAACAAGGGATGCATAGTTAGCACATAAACCTACAATAAAACACCACTGTTATTTAAAGATTACATTGTACACAAGCTCATAAATTAAAATTATGTAGAATTTCATGGTTTTTCTTTAGTCAATCATTCACCATTACGTATAAACAGTGATTTAAAAATGGAAAATAAAACACTTTTGTTATTAGTTTTGCTTATAATCATTTTTGTATATCAAGTGCAACTAAAGAAAAAGAAAGTCAAGATAGATTCACTTATCACTCCTGACTGTTAAATGCCTCGTTTATAACATCTAAATTAGTAGTTTTCTGTAGTTAACACTAACCCTATACCAATCCTATCCGTAACCTTGCAGCAATCCATCCCCTAACCCTATGATTACACTAACCTTAAGCCTACTCTAAAACAGTATTAAACCTAGCCCAGTAGTAAACTGTAATTTAAACTATCTCTAAGCCTACCCTAACCCTATCACTAGTACTTATTAGAGGTATTTCTCTGCCGAGCAGCTATCAGACTCTAGTGCTCATCACTACTGGCAGGGCACATGCAGGGAGACCCTGTGAGTGACAATTCTGACCCAGGTGGTCTCCTTCAGATTGGGAACAGGGAGAGAGTCGCCTCAGCTGAGCGTAATTGCTCCAATGTGGTGATGTAAATGGATATAAATGGCTATATGCACCACTGGCTATGTGCTGCTTAGTGAATACAGCTCCTTTGTCAAACTGGGATTTAGAGCTTTAAAGCCCATTCTATGGAGGACAGAATGGGACATTCTAACATTATTATTTTTTTATAAAGCGCTTGTAGGTGGACTAACAAGTATTTGCTACAAGCCAAGTTGGACACACAGAAACAGAGGGTGCTGAGGGCCATATTCAAACAAGCTTACATTCTAGAGGGAGTGGGGTCAAGTGACACAAGAAGTAGGGGTAAGATATTTAATGTACAGGAAGAAAGTAAGTTGCTAGAATAATTATGATGAAGGGTTTGTATTTTTGGATTACACAGTTGCAGGAGAGGAAGCAGAGTGGGTTAACAAGGTGCGTAGAAGGAAGTATAGACAGAGGATAGACTAAGATCTTCTGCAGCGTGTAGGGGCCTGAATGGGGCATACTTGTGCATTTCTTTGTCATTGTATCTTAACTGGACGTTCTTGCTCTTTAGTGTGTGTATGTATGTATATATATATATATATATATATATTTATATATGTATGTATATGTGTGTGTGTGTGTGGGTGTGTTTGCTCATACACACATATATTTTGCAGTTTGTCTTGTCCTGCGTGCTAAAGCTAGTTGCTCCCTGCCCTGCTCAACATTGGTTTTGTTAACTTAAATGTTATTCAACATCCTGCTTATCTCTAAAGATTTTCTCTGTTATTTCTTCCCCCCCCCCTTATTTTATTGATACCCACCCGAATGTCTTGCTTGACCAATCCTCACCTCCTCTGTGCATCTCCATTCCATAGCTTTTATTGCAGTCCTGTTTTGACCCTATCATCTCTGTCTTCCACAGTCTGAGTTTTAAAAGACCACTTCTAGCAAACCTGAACAGTGCTCAGATTCCCACCCACCCCTCCCCTCAACACCCCACCCCAAGTTCTTTACTACATTTATAGATAGAATCCCACACACAACTTTAGATAATTCCAAATAGCAGCTGCAAACACTACCCGTTATGAGCACAATCCACCTTCTTAACCCCGAACACTCACTCCTTCTCCTCCCTTATGCTCATTCTCCTTCCCTCTAATTACCTACCCATCAGAGCAATGCTCTATATTCTCCTCCTCTCCTTCTCTCTCATCTCCCTAAGGATCAAAATATCCCCTTCCACCCACTTCCCTCAACAAAACACCAACATTTACATTAATCCCTCTCTGCTACACTCCCCCTTCTCTCATCTCAAGCCCTGCACTCATTTCTCTATTCTCTCTCTCCTGCTCTAACCCAATCTCACCCTAGTCGCCGCCCATATAAAACCCACTCACACCTCCTGTCTCTATCTCTCCTCCTACTTCTGGCAGCTGGTGACGTCTCTCCCAACCCAGGGCCCCTCACCTCATCTGCTCACACTAAAATAACCAGAAACCATGCAAACCTCCTCCAAATACCCTGCAGTCTATCCTCCTCTAACAAAATTCAGTGTGCACTCTGGAATGCTCGCTCCATTTGTAGTAATATCAAATCTACAGCTATACATGACCTCCTCATCTCTAACTCTCTCACAATACTGGCACTCACTGAGACCTGGCTATCTCCATCCGATACCGCTACTCCTGCTTCTTTATGTTTCGGTGGTCTACAGTTCTCCCATACTCCTAGACTTGACTGTAAAGGAGGTGGTGTAGGCATCCTTCTCTCCCCTCAATGTACCTTTCAACCTATCCTCCCTGCCCCTGCCCTATCCTTTACTTCCTTTGAAGTTCACACTGTACGCCTTTTTAAGTCCACTCCTTTAAGAATTGCCATCATCTATCGCCCCCCCGGTCACCCTAAACTATTCATTGAACACTTTTCCTCCTGGTTACCCCACTTTCTTTCCTATAGCACTCCCTCTCTCATACTTGGGGACTTCAATATCCCTATCAACAAGCTCAATTGCCCTGATGCCTCTCGTCTGCTCTCTGTAACCTCCTCCTTTGGACTCACACAGATTTCTTCCTCAGCAACTCACACTGCAGGAAACACTCTTGACCTCATCTTCACCAATCTCTGTACCACCTCTGATCACGCCACTGCTCCATTTCCTTTGTCTGACCACCATCTGCTAACATTTAACATCTGCATACCCCATACCAAAATCTCACCACCGTCCACTCTCCAACCTCGCAGAAACCTCAACTCTCTCGATCTCCAGCACTTCTCCACTAAACTCCAAACACTCCTTTTACCCATCTCAAATCACAACTACCCTAACTCTGCAATCTCACTCTACAACTCCACTCTCTCCTCTCAACATGACATCATGGCACCTCCTACAGTTAAACGCAGCAAGCGCCCCCAAATACAACCCTGGCACACCAAGCTGACCCGTTACCTCCAAAAATGTTCCAGAACTGCTGAACGCTGGTGGAGAAAGTCTCACTTTGCATCTGACTTTATCCACTATAAATTTATGCTGCGCTCCTACAGCATGGCTCTTTCCTCTGCAAATGTAAGCTACTTCAACACCCTCATAAGCACACTGTCCCACCAACCCAAACACCTGTTTCACACTTTTGATGCACTTCTTCGCCCTGTGACTCCCCCTCCTTCCACCACCTTGTCCGCCACAAACTTTGCATCTCATTTCACTGAGAAGATCTCTACAATCAGGAAAGAGATCTCTAATCTTTCTCCAACCAGTATCAATACATCACCCAACCCCACTCCCCCTGCCATCCTAAGCTCATTTGCACCTGCTACAGCACAAGAGGTTTCTGCTCTGCTCCTGTCCTCCCGCCCCACCACCTGCTCCCTCGATCCTATTCCCTTGCATCTCATCCGCACTTTGTCTCCCTCTCTTGCTCTTCCTCTCGCTAACATTTTCAATCTCTCCCTTTCCTCTGGCACATTTCCCTCTGCCTTCAAACATGCAACCGTAACCCCAATTCTGAAAAAGCCCAACCTTGATCCCAACTCCCCATCCAACTACCGCCCTATCTCGCTTCTGCCATTTGCCTCCAAGATCCTCGAGAGAGTTGTCTACGCCAGATTGACAGACTTTCTTGAATCCAACTCTCTGCTTGACCCCCTTCAGTCTGGATTCCGCGCTGGTCACTCTGTCGAAACTGCTGTGACCAAAGTATCCAACGATTTAATTGCTGCTAAATCTTGCGGCCAATACTCTATCCTAATCCTCCTTGATCTTTCTGCCGCCTTTGACACTGTTGATCATCAACAGCTTCTTCACATTCTCCGTAACTTTGGTCTACGGGATTCTGCTCTCTCCTGGTGCTCCTCCTACCTCTCCCAGCGCTCCTTCAGTGTTTCTTTCTCTGGCTCTGCCTCTTCTCCCCAACCTCTTCCTGTCGGCGTCCCCCCAAGGTTCTGTCCTCGGCCCCCTACTGTTTTCTATCTATACTGCCTCCCTTGGTAAACTCATCAGCTCTTTTGGCGTCCAATACCATTTATGTTCATATGACACGCAAATCTACCTGTCCTCCCCTGATCTCTCTCTGCCCACCTTGACTCGTGTTTCTGACTGCCTCTCTGCTATTTCCAACTGGATGGCTGCTCACTTCCTTAAACTCAACCTGTCCAAAACAGAACTTCTAGTTTTTCCTCCCTCAAGTGCTGCTACTCCTGTGTCTGTTGCCATCCAAGTCAACGGCGCTACTATCACCTCTACCTCCCAGGCTCGCTGCCTAGGAGTTCTTTTTGATTCTGATCTCTCTTTTACTCCCCATGTTCAATCGATAGGCAAATCCTGTAACTTCCAACTCAAGAACATAGCGCGCATCTGCCCATATCTAACGCCGGACGCGGCTAAGGTACTGGTTCATGCTGTTGTTCTCTCTCGCCTTGACTATTGCAATCCCCTTCTCACCGGTCTTACATGTTCCCAGCTTGCACCGCTGCAATCTATAATGAATACGGCTACGAGGCTTATTTTCCTGTCCGGTCGCACCTCCCACGCTCTGTCAGTCCCTGCATTGGCTTCCAGTTAGATATAGGGCCAAATTCAAAATTCTGGCGCTTGCTTACAAATCCCTACATAATGTTGCTCCAACATACCTATCCTCCCTCATACACAAGTATGTCCCGTCGAGACCCCTGCGCTCAGCCCAAGACCTACTCCTATCCTCTGCCCAGATCCCCACCTCTGATGCTCGTCTTCAAGACTTCTCCAGGGCTGCACCTATTCTGTGGAACTCCCTTCCCTCCTCAATCAGACTTTCACCCAGCCTCCATTCCTTCAAAAACTCTTTGAAAACTCACTTCTTCATTAAAGCGTATCAATTAAACTGTCAGCAAGTTTCTCATCCCCCACCCCATGACTCCGTTCCTTCACCTGTCAAAAATGACCTACCAAGCACTCAATAAACCCTTCTGTAACAAACTGTAATTCCCCTACTTTAACCCTTTGTGTCACTATGCCCCACTCCCTCTAGCATTTAAGCTCATCGAGCAGGGCCCTCAACCCCCTCTGTTCCTGTACGTCAGTGGTCTGATCTCAATTATGTGTCTGTTAGTCCACCCATTGTACAGCGCTACGGAATTTGTTGGCGCTATATAAATAATAAAATAATAATAATAATAATAATAATTGAAGAAGATAGGTAGTTTGGAGCAGTGTTATGTAGAGCTTTGTACTTAAGCATCAGAATTTTAAATTGTGCCCTAAATCTTATAGCAAGTAAGGGCTGACAATGGGGGAGGCAATGGGATGTGAGGGTGGACAGAAAGCTAATGGTGTTTGCTGAGAACATTTAAGACCACGAGAAAGCAGATTGCAGTAGTCAAGGTGAGAGATAATAGCAGCATGAACCAGCACCTTAGCCACATCTGGGGTAAGATAGATGCAGTTCGAAGCAACAGGATTTGTTAAGTGACTGGACTTGTGAGGTGAAGGAAGGTTTTGAGTCGAAGAGAACACATAGGTAGCGGGCCTGTGAGATAGAGCTGATAGTAGTGCTATACACTCGGTTGGAGACAGACACCTGAATAGCAACATTTGAGGGAGGAGAGTTGAAAATATCTGTTTTGGACAGGTTGAGTTTAAGGAAATTAGTTAGCAATAGCAGGTCAGTCAGAGACACGGATCAAGAGGGAAGTTGAGAGACCAGAAGAGGACAGATAGCTTTGCGTGTCATCCGCATAGAAGTGATATCGGAAGCCAAATTATTGTAAATGAGTTGAAGTGTAGAGATTTAGAGAGAAAGTGACTGAAGGTTAGATCAGTCTTACAGTTATGTTTGGTTAGGTTAATTTAATGCTTAAAGTTATGAGATTTAATGTTAGAGAGGGCTAAAAAAGGTTTTACTGTTACAGAATTTAGAACTGAGAGGAGATAAATTTAGGTTAAATTATGGTTTGAAATTATTGGATTTAGCGTTAGAATGAATTAAGTTTAATATTAGGATTAGGAGCGTTTTATGAGTTTATGGATTGAGAGAACTTAAACCTAAGATTATAGGACCACTATAGTGCCAGGAAAACATACTCGTGTTTCCCCCCCCCCCCCACCCCCGCTGGGCTCTGGGGAGAGGAAAGGGTTAAATCTTACCTTTTTTCCAGCACCGGGCGCTCCTCCTCCTCTCTGCCTCCGATCCTCCTCTTCGGCTGAATGTGCATGCGCGGCAGGAGCTGCGCACGCATTCAGCCAGTCAATGAGACAGCCACTAGAGGCTTTAGAGGTTGGATTAACCCATTTATAAACATAGCAGTTTCTCTGAAACTGCTATGTTTATATAAAAAAAAGCTGAAGCTGAAGTGGTCTGGGTGCCTAGAGTAGTCGTTTAAGGTAAAGGGTTTTTAAGTTTATAGGGTTTCTGTTTTGAGAGTATATTTAGAATTACGGTTTTAGGGATACTTGCCTTTCTATAATTGATGGTAGAGTTGCAATAGCATCTATAGGTTGTATTTAACACAGAACTGTTAGTGTTCCTTCCGAGAAGAATTTGGTATGGCAGGCTTTTAATGGGCAGATAAACTGTCTACCAGACAGCCACTAGAGGGATTTCTGGGTGGTTAAGCGACTTTTGGTTGCCTAACTGATGCTTAACGTCCTCGCGCTAAGCATGAAGACATCCAGCATCACCCGAAATCCCATAGGAAAGCATTATACAATGCTTTCCTGTGGGAGAAGTACTAATGCATGCATGAAAATTTGCACCACGGGGGAGAGTGGTTTGACAGAGGGGCAACTATGTTTTCCTTGCACTATAGTTTCCCTTTAACTGTTCACGATACTACTTTAAAAGTTTTCCAAATTTCTCAAAATTCATTAATTTTTTTTATTTTTGGTCCACCCGTACTTTATTTTTCAAAAGAACTGTTAGTTATAATAAAATACTTTTTATTTACTTATTTGTTTATCAGGATGTGCACAAATCTCAGATGTATTAGTCGCACTTTAAATCTCTTTATTTTAAAATATTTTTAAATATACAAGCACGATCCATACAATGGCTACTGATGGTGGTCTGAATTTATGTGCTTTTGAAGTATGCCTTCTGGTACTTTAAAGGCACGAGGTTCAATGCCATATTTGGGCTTTAAACATGTACTCTATGCAAAACCAGACTGAGTATAATAGTCTAGTTAGAGATTTTAGTAATTTTAAAAGTGTAAAACATTCTGCTATTAAATTAATTGGTAAGAAAGCAATCACATATTAACAATAATGTTTTCTGGATATCAATGTCAACTGCAAGCTCCCGTGCATGTTAATTATGTCAGGTAAACAGGGATTAGTTAATGCAGGAATATTTTCTACACCTGTCTGTTTTAAATTAAGGTCTCTTAGCTCTATTAATAATAAAATGCAAATGTCATAAAAATGCATATATAATTTAATTGACAAACACAGAATTCATGCAAGATGTTTGAGCCTTGACAGCTTTCCTTCTGAGATTTATCACATCAAAAATAAAGCATCTGTGTGCTGAGGTTGCTAGCAACAAACATTGACAGAGATATTCAAGACATAGTTTTTTGCTTCTATTAACTATATCACCTTACGACATTTCACTAAAAAATTTAAAATAAAGCACCGTCTATTTACACAGAAAAACACAGTTTTAGTGCATAGCAAAACTAAGGCAACAAAGACCCAATCCCTGACTAGAGCTGAGTTTGAGAATGTTTTAAATGTATCTACTTTTACCATTCTAAAATGGGTATGAAGTCATAGGCATTGCTGCACATGTTTGGTGGGCTTTGGGGGCAAAAGCCATGATGTGGGATTACCTTGCTCCCCAAGTGTCTCATCCCCACCCAGCACTTCCATGTCTCTCATTCCCCCCATAGCCTCTTCGTGTGTCTAATTCTCCTCCCCAGCCCCTCCATGTATCTCATTCTCCTCACCAGTACATCCATGTGTTGCATTCTCCTCCAGCCCCTCCATGTGTCTCATTCTCCCCCAGAGCTCCTCCATGTGTCTCATCCTTTCCAGCCCCTCTATGTGTCTCATTCTCCTCCTCAACTCCTTCATGTTCCTCATCCTCCCCAGCCCCTCCATGTGTCTCATTCTCCCACTAAGCACCACCATGTGTCTCATCATCCTCCGCACCTCCATGTGTCTCATCCATCCCAGCCCCTCCATATGTCTCATTCTCCCCAGCAGCCCCTCCCTATGCTTTATCCCCCACAACTCCTTCATTCTTCCCCCCAGCTGCTCCATGTGTCTCATTCCTCCTCCCCGTACCTTTCATATGTCTTATTCCCCCATGTGTCAGGGTCCCGCGGGCGGTTGCGAGGGGAGGCTGCAGTCCGCTTGCGGCACTCACCCTCCAGCCGTCCGCGGTCCCCCTTCAGCCGTGTGCTCGGCGGGCGGCACCCTCTCTCCCACGGATGCCGTCCGCCTCTTCCTCTGTGTCTCCCAGCGGCAGCATGCATGACGCTGCACGCTGGGAGACCGCCCACTTTAACAAACGCCGGGGTCAGTCACCTGACCCGGCGTTAAAGGCACAGTGCCTCAATCACAGTGGGAGGTTTAGATATCTCCCACGTGTGATTGTTAATTCTGATTGGAAATTATCCAATCAGAATTAACCTTTGGATTTATATACTTACCTTTCCTGTTCCTCTTCGCCCTGTTGTGGTCTTTACCTGCTAGTATTGATACTGAACTTGTATTTCTGGTTACGTACTCTCTGGCTTGTTATCCGACTCTGTGACTTTCTCCTACCCTTTGACCTCGGCTTGTCTATCGTTATTCTGTCTTCTGGTTCCCCTTTACTCGGCTTGTTTCCTGACTATTCTT